AAATTCTTTAAGGGGTTATACCTACCTGCAAGGTCTGAAAAACACGTATTTTTGGGAATTTTTTTTTAAATATTTGAAGTGCTTTGGAAAGGAACATTTATGTTTTCAAATATATATATTTCAAAGATTATTTAGTATTTTTTTTATTGCAAAATGTTGATAAATAAAAAAGATATGCTTAATCTTCCAGAAGCAGTTTTTTGAAAAGCGTTTTGCGGTGACCACTCTAACTTTGAACTGGTTTACCAGAAATCAAAAAACCCGAGAAATTTAGTTAATATATAAGATTATCTAGTGCCCGATCGTTCATTTTTTTGAAAAATTAATTTGCGACAAAATGGCGGCTGTTCAAATTTGAAGGTATGATTTTGCTACCAAAAATTCGCTCGTTTTTTTATTATTAAAAAAAATACGCAACGAAAAAACAAAAGCCACGATCGGGCACTAGATTTTTTAGTATTAAAGATGTCTACCAAATTTTATTTCAATCGATGCAGCGGTTTTCGAGATATTTTGGTCACCGATTTTAAAAATGCTGTTTTGAGAAAAACGCATTTGAAGTTTCAAATTAAGTTCACAACCAAATAATATATTTATATATATATTTATATATATTTATATATATTATTTATTTATATATATTTTGGCTTTGTATAGAGACCGCTTTTGTCCGCGTCGCAGCTGCCGTTCGATACCTGAGACCCGTTTCTGTACCCTGCTTCTAAACAGCAGGATACGTTCACACCAGTATACCTTTAAACTCACATAACTTCGTTAATTTTTGTCGAATCGACTTGAAATTTGCAGGGAATATTTTTGAAAGTATGTACTTTAAGAAAATATCAAAATCCAAAAATCGATTTTTTTGAAGTTTGCAGATAGGTATAACCCCTTAATTAATTTTTAATCTTTTATGATTAATTTAATTTACTCTAATTATTTTTGTACGAGAAAAATACTATTATGGGTATACGTTTTATAATTAATTTAATATATTTGTGTTTAAAAATTATATTTGACCTTTAATTTTAATTTTTATTTTATTAAAATTAATAATTAACATATATACTTAATTGCGAATTATATGGATGAAAAAAATCCCCATTATGTGTGTAAGAGATTTCGGAACTCTTTGCTATAAAATAATTAAAATTAAAAGTCAAATATAATTTTTGAACACTTTTATATTATTAAGAATATATAATTCGGTTCCCGAAATATATTAATTCATTATAAAACGTATACGTGATATTATTTTTCTCATATAAAAATGACTAGAATAAATTAAATTAATTATTAAAAAACTAAAAAGTAATTAAACGACTTAGACTTAGATGATAATAATAATGAAACATTTTATTAAAAAAAGATTCAATAACTAGTAGGTCAGGTTATAATTTTTTATTTATTTATTTATAACATTATGAGCTATTAAGCTCATCATCTCGTTCGCTCTCTGTCTTGCTTTCATTCGGCAAGTCACAAACGATATATGATACTCGTATGTTCCTACTTCAACTCTCGAGAATCTGAAACAAACGAAACTCGTGTCCAATATACAGGGTGTCCGGTAACTAACAGACCAATGATTACAAATGGATTCTTTGGTCAATTTGGGAACGATTTTTCCTCAGCAAAAATGTCGAAAAAGGTCATCATTTTTTACAACTTTCCAATCTTTGTCATTATGTATCTTTATAACTAAGTCTTAAATTAAAATTTTATTATAGTAAACTCTACCTGAAATTAACTGAAGAATGTAATTATGTTAGACTTTTAACTCCAAAACGTTTAGTTTTCAAAAAACCTATTTTTTTCAATCGCTTATAACTCGAAAATTATTGACTTCTCAACATTTTTGCTAAGGAAAAATCGTCTCCAAATTGGCCAGAGAATCCGCCCTTAATCATTGGTCCGTTAGTTACCGGACACCTTGTATATATTATATAAAAGTGTATAGCACGTCAGAAGCTTGTGAGCTTACAGCGATAAGTAAAAACAATTGCGTATTTATTTCATTGCGTTTATCTGTTTAAACGCGCGCTTTAATTTTTCCAACGTTTTTGCCTGTTTATATTTTAAAGGTCCTCTCTTCTAAAAATCTTGTTTTAAAGATCCTCTCCGCGAGCAAAATTCGAAAACATAAATTATTTAATATTTTTACTTTATTATTTGTAAATCCTCGGTAATTTCAAAATTTTTCTATTTGAAAATTATTAATTTTCTATTGCCAATTAATTTTATCACAGACTTTACTCTTACTCCCATTGCACTTTCGTTTGCGGTTTTCAGTATACGATTTTTTATCGTAGTTACTGCAAATTATTATTGTGAATTATACTTGTGCAGTGATTTGAAGAATTTACAATTTCGTTGAAATTGTTGATTTTTCAAAAAAATTACGAGATTCGCGGAAATTGCGTGCTTTCTTGGCATTTTCCGTTCGCGGCAGGCGGTTTATTTTTGATTGTTGCAAGTGTTTTTGTTTTTTTTTTATTAAAATAGATAATAATAATGTGAAATAAATCACGATATTTGACAGATGTGCATATATATAGAAATTGTAATAATAATAATATTATATCATAAAATTGTAAATTGTTTCAATTTTTTATAGACTGCGATAAAAGATTTTACATTTGGATAAGAAACTGCGGTAAGTAAAAATATAAAATTCTTGAAAACGTACCAAAAATATTTGATAACGTAAAAAGGTGAACTTTGAAAAATAAGGAACTTAAAAATTGCACTAATAAATGGGCTATATGTGAGCCGTGCGCGGATGTAAGGTGTGTTATATCGAAATTTAATTAATAGAATTGAGAATTAATCCCAATTTTAAGTCTTACAAATGTCCAAGCTAATTTTTTGTACCTCGTGTACATTTTTGAAAGTTATATCGAAAAATTAAATTTCAATATGCGTCTTACATCTCACATTTCGCATACGGCTCACATATAGCCTATTTATCTCTTATACTTTATTTCAACTCTTATAGAAATTTATTACTAGTAACGTCAATTTATCACTTATTTCGAGTAATTAATCACTTTTATTTCGAATACTTAAATTACTGTATATTATAGTATTTTAAATACTCAAAATAAGTGATTAATTGGCGTAGTGATAAATTTCTACAAGAGAATAAGGAGCCTTTAAATTCTTAATGTAAAAAATTTCAAGTAATTTTCTTTAATAAAATTTAATTAAAAAATTTAATTAAAAAATTTTTGAACACTGTGTTATATCACATTTAAAATTGTGATTATTTCAATAAAAAAACATTTTATGTGTAAAAATATATTTTTTATTAAGAGTTTAACTAGGCTCTGTAATATATAAATATAAATTTAACATATATAAGATAGGCAATAAGAGCCAAATCGCGGATGACAGTGCGTTATTCTAAACGAAACTAAATTTTTTCGTTAGAATTAAATACCTGTGCACAAGGCACCAAATTTTTACTTGGACACGGCCAAGATATAAAATTGGAATAATCTCTACAAGAGATTTTTAATTCCATGTATCCCCTATTCCCCCTAAAGAAATAAAGTGCGAGAGAAAAATATAGATCCGAAAGTCGCAGAATCGGGAATCAAACCCGAGACCTTTCGCTTGCCGGGCGACTGCTCTTCCAACTGAGCTATTCAGATCCTTTCGATTCTATACTTTTCTCTGTTATATATATTAATGTTGGTAAATAAACGCCTTTAAGCCAGCGTGTATAAATTAAGAGTTTAACTAGGCTCTGTAATATATAAATATAAATTTAACATATATAAGATAGGCAATAAGAGCCAAATCGCGGATGACAGTGCGTTATTCTAAACGAAACTAAATTTTTTCGTTAGAATTAAATACCTGTGCACAAGGCACCAAATTTTTACTTGGACACGGCCAAGATATAAAATTGGAATAATCTCTACAAGAGATTTTTAATTCCATGTATCCCCTATTCCCCCTAAAGAAATAAAGTGCGAGAGAAAAATATAGATCCGAAAGTCGCAGAATCGGGAATCGAACCCGAGACCTTTCGCTTGCCGGGCGACTGCTCTTCCAACTGAGCTATTCAGATCCTTTCGATTCTATACTTTTCTCTGTTATATATATTAATGTTGGTAAATAAACGCCTTTAAGCCAGCGTGTATAAACCAACATTAATATATATAACAGAGAAAAGTATAGAATCGAAAGGATCTGAATAGCTCAGTTGGAAGAGCAGTCGCCCGGCAAGCGAAAGGTCTCGGGTTCGATTCCCGATTCTGCGACTTTCGGATCTATATTTTTCTCTCGCACTTTATTTCTTTAGGGGGAATAGGGGATACATGGAATTAAAAATCTCTTGTAGAGATTATTCCAATTTTATATCTTGGCCGTGTCCAAGTAAAAATTTGGTGCCTTGTGCACAGGTATTTAATTCTAACGAAAAAATTTAGTTTCGTTTAGAATAACGCACTGTCATCCGCGATTTGGCTCTTATTGCCTATCTTATATATGTTAAATTTATATTTATATATTTTTTATATTTAATAAATTTTATATATATATATGCATATATGTAAAATATTCTCTCTCTCTCTCTCTCTCTCTCTCTCTCACACACACACACACACACACACACAACGGGGGCCAAATCTCTCAAATTGGTCTCATGATCAATTAGCCTGGATTCGCACCAGGGGCAAAGTCTGTTGGTAATGTCAAACGAATTTAGCCTGGACTTGCACCAGGGGCAAAGTCTTTTGGTCGAGTCTACGAAATTTAGCACGGACTCGAACCAGGGGCAAAGTCTTTTGGTTCAAGTCTACGAAATTTAGCACGGACTCGAACCAGGGGCAAAGTGTGTCGGTAAGGGGCAAAGTCTATCGCACGAAGATGGCGGTCTCTTCTTTAGGCAGGCCTTTGGCGATCTGTCTATTAATCTGTGGCCTTACATAGAGATTTTTTTACATAGAGAATTTATCGCTCGAAGTTGGTAACTCTGAAGCTGAAGCTTTGCACTTTCACCGCAAGAGGTCTCCAAAATGGATTCGAATTTTCGTCCGTCAAGCATGGTTGTGTTCAAACTTAACCTCACTTAAAGGAAAAAAATTATTTAGTAATTAGTAAGTAACTTAGTATTTAATTATAATTTATAAGTTATAATTAATTAATAATGTAGTATTTTAATTATCTTAATCTATAATTTAGTATTTTCAAAAAGAATAGAGAAAGGAGTCAAAAAAACTTTTTATTTAAATACAGGTTGACGGCACGGAAAACACCGAAATACATATAAAAAGACATAATTTATACAAGGTCTGGATGTAGAAATTTTACAGAATTTAAAGACACTCTTGATAAGATAGAAAAAAAATAATTCCGAGGTTTTTCGATCAAAATATACAACATGGTGCAAAGTAGGATATTCGCGCGGAACCGAGCCCTCGGGTACGTAAGCAATCACATTCCTCTGGTGACGAGGTACATCCTGAGAAGGAAGGAGCACCTGGTGGTCACTTGCGTGGGCAGAGAGTTCCACACTTATGGATGCAAACACTTCACCCTGATGAGCGTGTCGGGGATGCATGCCGAAGACATCACCTGTTTGGCTACAGACACCTTCCACGTGTACACAGCTAGTGGGAATGACATTTATGCCTGGCGAAGAGGAACTGAGCTGAAGCACACATACAAGGGTCACGAATGCGCGGTGCATCTTCTGCTACCTTTTGGCGCCCATCTGCTGTCCATCGATGAGAGCAGCACATTAAAGGTCTGGAACATCAAGGACGAGAATCTACTGCTGGAGTTGAACTTTAGCAACAGCGTCTTCAAAATAACCACATTGATACATCCCAATGCTTATGTAAACAAAATTTTGATGGGTAGCGAACAGGGTCAGCTGCAGCTGTGGAACATTAAATTAATGAAAATGATCTATACATTTAAAGGATGGCAGAGCAGTGTGACAGCATTGGAGCAAGCACCTGCGATAGACGTGACTGCGATAGGTCTAAACGATGGTAGAATCATTCTGCATAATCTCAAGTTCGACGAGACCCTCTTTGAACTGGTGCAAGATTGGGGCCCGGTGGTGTCTATCAGCTTCCGTACGGATGGCCATCCCATGATGGCAACGGGCAGTTTAGGAGGACAAATCGTGTTTTGGAATCTGGAGCAACGCAAAGTGGAAAGTCAGCTGTGCAATGCTCACGATGGCTCCGTTACAGGTCTGAAATATATTCCGAACGAGCCGCTGTTGGTTTCGTCCTCCCCTGACAATTCCCTGAAGATGTGGATATTCGATATGTCTGACGGTGGAGGGAGGCTCTTGAAAATAAGGGAGGGTCACATTGAACCTCCGACAATCGTTCGATTTTACGGGAACGATGGTAATTATCTGTTGACCGCGGGCGGCGACTCGTCCCTCCGACTGTTTTCCACCGTCACGGAGATACTGAACAAGAGTCTAGGAAGAGCCTCATTCAACAGGAAAGCGTCTAAGAAGAAAGGTCGCTCGGTCGAGGATGCGCTGCTGATGCCGCCGATAACCGAGCTCGCGTTCGAAGAAACACGCGAGAAGGAATGGTGCAACATAGCGGCCTCTCATTCCGGTTTGGGAGTAGTCACTACCTGGTCCTCTCATCTGCAGAAGATGGGCGATCTTAAACTGCTGCCCGAGAGATTTAAAAATAATTATAACGCCAGCGCGACCAGCTTATGTTTAACCAGATGCGGAAACTTCGTCGTAATCGGTTACAACACGGGTCACGTTGATAGATTTAACATTCAGTCTGGAATCCATAGGGCAGCCTATGGGGATAAAAATGGTGCTCACGAGGGTCCGGTTAAAGGCGTCATGGTCGACGATTTGAATCAAATTCTCATCACTGCCGGCAGAGATGCGAAAATTAAGTTTTGGGATTTTAAACCGGGAAAAGGTATCTGTTATATTACAAAAAAGTTTTTTTTTTTTGCTAAATATATTTTATTGCATTTCTTATTATCACAGGTATGACAACAGCAAGGACGATAATATCGCTGGAAGAGTCGGTCGAATGGATACGATATCACAATGAGAGTTCCCTTGTAGCTGTGGCTTTAGAAAACTTTGATATTGTGTTGCTGGATCTGGATACAAGAAAGGTAGTTCGACATTTCCAAGGACACGAGGGACGAATCACGGACGCGTGTTTCAATCCTGACTCTAGGTGGTTAATCACAGCATCTATGGATTGCACAATTCGCACCTGGGACATACCATCTTCACACTTAATAGATATTTTTCAGGTAAATTTGATATTATATTATTACGTTTCGTATTTTAGTATAGATAAAAATATTGAATTTTCAGTATAGAAAAATAGATAAAACTCTAATTATAGATATAAAGATATAAGTATAAATTTTTTAAAAATTCAAAGAATGTTAAAGAAACTTTGAATATCTATACACGACTTGTTTGATATTATCTTTTTATATTAATTGGACTAAAAAGGCAGCACATCACAAATATTATATTAATTATAATTTTTTTATAGGTTCCTGAAGCTTGCATATCTTTAAATTTCTCTCCGACAGCAGAATTCCTTGCAACTGTTCATGTGCGTAACATGGGGATTTTTTTGTGGTCAAATCGTATGCTGTATTCGCATGTATCGTTGAAAGCTATCAGTAAGGACGACATAATACCCGAAGTGTTACTCCCCGGCTCTTCTGTAGAAACTGAGAATGCCGACGAGGACGATGTCGTCGTCGCAGAGCCAGATTACACGTCTCCGGATCAGCTCGACAGTGATCTCATAACTATGTCCGGTGTGGCTCAATCGAGATGGCAGAATCTACTCGACATCGACATTATTAAAAGGCGAAATAAGCCGCAACAACCACCAAAAGCTCCCGAGACAGCGCCGTTCTTCCTACCCACGATTCCGTCGTTGCAACTACGTTTTGATTTCTCGAACGTTAAAACTGATGACAAGACCGAAATCGTACCTGTTAATTCCACTTTACAAAATCTCACGTCATTTAATAAAAGTCTGCAATCAACTACTACGACTGACAATTTTTCAGAGGTGATAGAAAAATTGAAAGCGATGAATCCCAACGATATCGATTTTGAAATTCAGTCGCTATCTCTGGATGAGAATTCCGCGGAATTGTCGATGTTGCAATTTATGAAGATGCTTCATTACGTGATGGAACGACAGAACGATTTCGAATTGTCACAAGCTTATTTGGCAGTATTCTTAAAGTGGCATGGTACCGCTATATCGGAAAATGAGACGCTACAAGACTACTTGCGACAGATCCAAGAGGCACAAATGAAAAATTGGAAAATACTACGAGAAAAATTATTTTATAATCTAAGTGTAGTACAACACTTGAAAAAAATGTAATATAGCATTTGAATTATTCGTATATTCACGCGTGTAAATACTTTTAATAATTATAAAAAAATGAACACAATAAACTGAAATATTTTATATAAATTCGCAATTTTTGCATCTGCACATAGCATACAACTCTTCAGAATTTACACTTACTAATGACAAAATATTAATTTTTTTTAATTAACGTTTATTATGGATACACAATTATATTGCTATTAAGAAATACATCTGCATAAAAAAGTATTTTTACTATTTCCACATACACATTTATATTTTTGCATGTACACATGAATACATTAAACTAAATATTAAATCAAACAGAATAACATTTTTAACATATTTTTCTCTATGAATATAAAGTATAAAAAAACTTAAATCAAAACTGTAATTAGATAATTAGGAAATTAAGTGAAAAAGAATATGTAAAAAAATAGTTCAATTATAATTAATATAAAAAATGCAGTTTTTTGACAAATTTATTATTCTATTGTATATAAGCACACTTGATATTAATATTTATAAACTATTCCCTGTAATTGAGAAAGCTTTGCAATTGTTCTATTGTCGAAGATTCAAGACATAAATCATTAATATATGGTTCAAAGTTTGTAACAATTCTATACAGACTACGTTTGATCGCACTTCGCAAAGAGGTAAAAATTTCTTTAATTAATTTATCATCCGTTAGCATTTTTCTTGCTAATACAGGTGATTTTTGCAATTTATCTACAACCTGCTTCACCGACAACAAAGTACTGATAATGTTCGGCACATCTTTCTGTACAACGCCATAAGAATCTTCACTGAGTGAAAATACTGATAATGATGAAATAGCTTCGGCTGCCCAAATCACCAGTTGTCCATTGAGTAACATGTAACGAATTTTATTATCGTCTTGTTCACCAAAGATATAATTAATAAGTGGTTTAGAAAGCAAATATGCTATAAAAGTTTCTTGTTTCTGCTTAATAAACTTTTGGATAAACATGCCACTATAAGGGACTTCTTTTGTTTCTGCTTCTGTTGATAATATTGGTGGTTTATCCAGTACTAATTTCCGCATATGATATATATGATCCTTTTGTGCAGGTTGCGGAGGTTGTATAATTCTTACTGGCCATACTTTCGTGGTATAACAGAATTGCTGCTCTTGAGGCTTTATGGATATAGTATTGAAGTCCAGTGAAAACTTTTGAAGAATATCTATACATTTTTGCACAATGCAATTCCAATTGTAAGGATGACCGCCTGGTTGACTGAGAGTAAATAACATCCCTCTTCTCATTTTCTCTTTTTGAGCCAAGGTAACTAAATCTAGATAACCCAAATATTGCATAATTGGTATCTTATCCATTGACAGTGCATCGATAAGTGTTAATTCCGAAACATCTACACTGTATACTCCGCTTGAACCAAACTTAAATGGAATCCATTCAGTCAGATATACCTCAAACAACAAGTAAGTGTTGCTTAAAGTCAATATGAATATAAATTGGTGAAACCATAATTGTAATATTAATGTCAGATTTAATAATCTAGACATATTATCCAAAGGTTCGACTTCTGTTTGTATAGAAATCACAGACAACAATGCTCCACGGCAGTACGATCCTAGAAAGTAGTAACCAGCCATGTAATACAGAGTCGGCCACATGGAAGAGACCATTAACTTTGGAAGCATAGCGTAAATTCCTCGTTTCAAACGGAAAAATTTAGACTGCGCTATAATGGAAAATCGGAAATACTTGGTGAAGTCATCAGTCTTGATGGAAAAGTATAATCCACTCCATAAGCCACTGAACAGCAGGAAGTAATATTCCTCCACCAGACATGTTCCGTATACGATGCTACAGTCCGCAGTCAAGGAACTGTACGTTCCTCCTTTCAAGGACAAATGCAACCAGGTCAAAGTGCCACCCATAACTACGTAGGAGGCTTTCAAACCCAGATTTTGAACTGTCAGAGTCGCGCACAGTTTGCTGAATCTGCTCTTGTAATACGGTGGACTGTGAAGGTAAATTTTGCTGCAGAAAATACCTTGTAGGAAGATGATCGCCGCGACGATGACGAGATAAATCCACATTCGGAACGACGTTACGGTTGTCCATGTGTTCTGAATCCAGTGTACGTAATCTACGCTGAAATTTGTAAGCAGGATGAGGCAGCAGATTAGGAAGAATTGCAATCCTATGCTTGAGACGACAGCTAACAGCATCCGCTGGGTCAAAAGTTCCTTGCAGCCCTTCTTGTCAGTCTCGATCATCTTGTTGAAGTTTGTGCCGGTTAACCTCCACAAAGTGTCCTCATCAACTTTTCAGCGTTTGTTTCGCACGATTTTTCGCAGCGATATTTTATTTAGCGCACCTCGAGCTCCTCTTCGTGGAATAATGTTATTTAATGTTATGCACTACGACTTTTGTGCGTCTTGTCAAAAATTATTAGACGTCCTTCTTGCAAAACTTTCAAAATGCGATAACCTAACACGACCTTATCGTCCTTTTAGCGCCATTAAATTTATTTATATATAATTCCCACGCGCTTTGAGAAGCGTTTGATTGACCAATCAGAGGACAAGGATTTTCGCTCCTTTCGTCTTGATTGGTCTATGTTGATTTCTATTAGTTGATTTTTGAAATGGAAACGCGCTTAATTGTAAACAGCCTTAAAAACTTCATTTTGGACGGGACTTGAACTTCGCCAGGTTTGACAGGTGACAGGTGACAGGTATTGAATAACCTCAATATTTATTAGTACAATTTTCTGTTGTCAATAACAGTAACTTTCTCATATTTGAAACATATAATAAGTATAAAATAACATTTCTAAGGCAACTTTTTAAATTCCTGCGGAAATTTAGGTAGAAATAAAGGTATACTTATATTTACATAGAAAACTCTTATTACAAGTTTGACTTTACTATCACTCTTGATCAAGTTTAACAAGATAATATTTTTTACAAAAATTAGGTTCTCCAGGTGGTAATGCGCGTTCAATAAATAAAGTAACCTCATCGTCTACGTCAAGTACAGAGAAAAGGAAGAGATGGCAGAAGACAACCCAACGAAGTCGAGAAGAGACGCGGACGCCGAAAGGAGGGATATGGAAATAAATTATTTTAACAACGCTACGCCGATCTTCGACGAGATCCTGCCCAAGAAGACTTCTTCCGACTTCTTCGAGCAGTCGATCCCCGTAGGTCTAAGTCCTCTGTTGAACGTTGCGTCTACCAGCTGTTTGGACGTGGACATCTCAAGGACATCCATGTCGCCTTCGCTGCTGGACACGACTGTCGACCGGGTCGAGCACAACACGTTGAGTGACGCGCACCGGGATGTCTGGATACCGTCTGATCAAACGCGAAAGATTCTACGGTCCATCGCGACCTCCGCAGCAGGTAACAGTCACCTGGACCGAGAGAATCTCACCATGCCCGGTCTGGCCGTCCAGGGCGACATGCCGGATTTGATTAAGAACGCGTCTATCCATTTTCTGGGCGAGGACGAGAACATTCATCGGAATGTGCTCACAGCATCCGATGTGACTCAGGACGAACGTGGTCTGAGGAATCTGATACAGACTGGTTGCTACCGAGCAGCTGTCAACCTGTCCGGCAGACTGCTGGCCATCTATGCCCAAGGTTACGGCAAGATCAATCAACCTAGCAAGCACACGCCTCATTCTCTGCAGCTCTGGTATACGAGGCTCTCGCTGCTGGTGAAATTGAGACAGATGGACGTGTTGGAGAACGAATCGAAGCCGTTCGGTAATCTCGATAAGCCCGACATGTACTTTACCTTTTACCCGGAATTGTACGGCACCAGACCCGCATCCATGGCATCGTTCGCTTTCAGATTACTGCTGGCAGAGATTCCCTCGTATTACGACAAGGCGAAACAAGCGTTGGATAATTTGTACAAACTCTTAGCAACCGTCCATCAGATTATAGCGAATTTCCAAGCCGGACTTAGCGGTGAGGGAACACACGCGAAGATCAGCGAGTCCGATCAGCGCGAGGCCGTGAAACTGTGGACAGCCAGAAGAACCAGGATCCTCATTTCCATCGTCAACTGTGCCATCGGTATGAGAAACTATATTCTTGCGATAGAGATACTGGAGGATCTCTGCGAGCTGCCCGATTGGACTGCGGAGCAGATAGGTATCTTGAGGTCGGCCATAGGAAGGGTGCATTTGTTCCTCGGCGACGTCTCCGCGGCGGAGAAGTTTCTCGTTCGCGAAGAGAATAAGGAGGAAAAGACCACGAGCGTCCGAGAACTGGTGGACAGCGGATTAATGGCGGTCGCGCAGAATGCCTTTCAAGAAGCCTACAACTACTTTCAGTCGGCGTCGGCCTTGGATCCCTCCAACGTAATGTTGATCAATAACATGGCGGTGTGTTTGTTGTACACCGGTCAGTTGAGGGCGGCCGTATGGCTGTTCGAGAGTATCATCAATAAAAATCCATTGAAGAGTCTGCAGGAACCCATCTTACTGAACATGTGTACGTCGTACGAGCTACATACGACGCACTGTAAACAGCCGAAACTGCATTTATTGCGGCAGCTAAATAGATACAAAGGCGACGCGGCTGACATTCAGTGTCTAAAGCTAGCTATGTAATATTAGTCATGAATTTTTATTGTTAATGTTAATGTTACGCCTTGAGACCTGAGCCCGTTTATTCTCTTAGAGATTGGAAGTTTCGTTGAATAGTTAATTCAAATGTGTACAAAGATAATTGTAGGTTTTAATACGACAGTTATTTAATTTGTGTCTTTAGGAGAATTTGAGAAAATTATTCTAAATTGAATTCTATTGTCTTCGAATTTTATATTTAATTGTATTATTAGGGTAAATATTTTTAATCCTTTCTCACATCTTTAAGATTAATTTTCTCAAATGTAAATTGAAGACTATTGTTGTACTTTGATTTAAAAAAACAAGTTATATATATATATATATATATATATATATATATATAACTAATATATATATATTTATTTGTTTAATATTAAATTATATATTTGGGCTCGGATAACAAAATTGTTAAATCTCAGGGAGAATGTAAACGTTGTGATATAATTAATAATGGTAAAATATACCTAATGTTTGGTTACACATTTCTAGACTTTATAAAGCTTTCATTTTTACATCATATTGCTGAGAGCAATACATGTATAGCATGCCATATTTTTTCACATTTCCTGTACATATCCTATCCGCGTATATTTTGTTACAATTTATTTTATTATATATTTAAAAATCGTGCATGCTTTATGCGAACACATTATGTTAGGGTCGTCGATCGTAAAAACAGGAAACAACAGCGGGACGTCAAAGTAAAATAGCCTTTATTACATCGTGAAACGAGGACAATTTAACGAATGTTCAACAATTGCTATAGTTTTCTCTCCTCACATTCTTTTCGTCGCTTTATTTATCTCGCGTTCGCGTGTAAACATGTACGATTCACGCATGTCTCCTTTCCATCGTCTTCCGGTTTATATCCTCCGCGTTTTCTTTATTACTTTTTTTTTTAGTCGAAAGAATACGAGTACCGCAGCGCGTGTTCCGAAAATATATATCATGTAATAATCCACATGTAATAATGTTTTTGCTATTTCTTTTTTTTTTTTGCATTTCGATCGTTCTTTCTGCGCATCGGTGTTTCTCAGTTTCTCGCATTGTTTCCTCGTTTTTTTTTTGTTTTTTTATCTTTAATTTTTCTTATTTTTATTCTTTAAAACTGGCTTTCTTTAAACTGGCTAATTTACTCTTTCGCTCTCTCTCTCTCATACTTATTATCGCGCGATTACATCGTAGCACATATTATTAGATTATTGGATTTTCCCAAACTGCACTCTCTCTCGCTCTCTCTCTCCCTGCAGAAAAAAGGCACGAACTGGCGGAAAAGTCGGCCTAACTGTATAATATTTTCATTTATTTATTATGGATGGAACTTCGTGTCTCACATACATTTATTTTTCTTTATTTCCTCTCTTTCCCTACCGTCGTCCCCGTTGAATCGTTAGTGCCACGAAAGTTAACGATATAGTGAGCGCAGCGCAAGAATCTCCGCGTATCGATTATATAATTCACAATATAGTCATTCATTCATTTATATTATTTGTTAATTTCTACGCGTCCGTCTCGAATGCCCATCGCCGACGATCGAATTCGATATAAGATCGTCCTTCGTTAATTCAAGTATTAATTTTAATTCTTTTTTACAGAGAACAATATTTATTCAGCCACAAAACGAAAAAACAAATTTAATATAAAATAAATATCGAGAATCTTATGCAGCTACAAAATTATTGTGTGCAAGAAATATCAGAGCCAGAGCAGGATTTAACAAAGGTGAGTTGTAATTTTTATCAAGAATGTGCAAATATGTTTTAGATAGATGATATCATTTTTAATGTGTACATTTTTTAATTATTTCGCAATAAATATTTTATAAGAAGAGATTACACAATTTTAATTTATAAAAGAAAATAAAAGAATCTTTTATATTCAAACATATAGATATTGTTTCTCATTAATTTAAAAAAAATCAATATGTTGTTACTCTATGTTAAATATAAAGTAAAAAAAAACATAGAACTCGATTTGTAACAACAATAAAAAAAATTAAGCTAAAATAAATTTTTAAAATAATTCTTGAGAATAATTTGCTCTCAGTAATTATTTCGATTTCGTTGTATATAATTAATTTTGTTTCTGAATATTATGTATAAATTATATTAATATCGTGTGCAAATAATTTTAGTTATGTACTCCGATTATAATTATCTTAACATGTAAAGAATATATAAAGCTTTAAAAAAGTATTAATTCGGCATATTTCAAAAGTGACGAAATTTATCTTAGAAATTAAGATAATTTTTTTTCTACGGAATTAGTTACGTGACGAGTTTTAAAAATTTCTTCGTTTCTTTATCATTAAATTACATATTAATTATAAAATGACATTGTTCGGAGCTTGCGCAACAGGCACTACATCGCCAAAAAGAGCCTTTCGAATATTATCTCTTTCTCTCGTTCGAGTACGTTCACACACTTCGTCGTATTACAATAATATCCACATCGCTATTCCTGGCAATTAAATGTAATTTTTTGTGTATATATATATAATATATAATATATACACCATTGTGTATATAATATATATATATGCCACTTTATAGTAAATTTATCTTTTTTTATATATGTCTACAATATTTATATATATATATTTATGTATACTATAGTGTAATATGCTTACGCCGTCTAATCTCTAAAAAAAGAAACGATACATTATTGTCTGTGGTATTTTTTTTGTTTTCGAGTATTTATATATATAATATATACAATTCATTTTTGGTATTTATATAATATATAAGTCAATGAAAAGCTCAATGGCCTGACCATGTAGTATTCATTGAGTACAATAAATCTGAAAATTTTTCGTAAGTTTCACGAAACTCCTTATATGCATAATCGATCCACGAATTATTTCACAGAGCATAGAAGAGGATATTTTTTGTCACATTTTTCAATTGCTATTTATCAGTTTAAAAATTTATATAATTTAATTTTTTACAATTATACCAATCTCTAAAACGAAAATAAAAGGAGGATGGCGCAATTAAGGAGTATCGTGAAAGTAATTCTGCTCTTGACGACAATGTCGCACTAACATTTATGTAATTTTTTCGTTTATCTTGGCAACGCTAGGCAAGCTCGGTCGTTCACGGAAGGCATCGTATGGTGCTTATTAAATCGTTGCTTCAACAATCATAACAATTTTCATCGCTTTTATCTTTTCCCTCGTTTCCACTTATTTTATCTTTCTAATTATTATCTTCGCTGTTAGTTTTCTTTTTGTTATTATTCGTTCGGGAGATAATGTCGATGCACAAAAGCTGGCGCGACTTATATAAGTTTTGTTTTCGTTATTCATTAATACGTACATATATTGAGGCAAGCGGGCCGCAAAAGCTCCCGAATCAGAGGAGAGAAATGTAATATAATACTTTATATATATTATCTATATACGTATATATATAATATTGTCTTCGTAAGTTTTCCTGCCTTTCCCTCCTGATGTCTTAACCCGTTGTTGGTCGTGAAGTCACTTAGAAAGTTACTCGAAAAGCGAAGATAAATTAATTGAAAATTGACAACAATATAATTTCATTGAGCTAAAAATTGCATGAACTAAACTCATCGAAATTATATTACTTTCAATTCTAAATATAAATACAAAGCAGAATGACTCGAGCAATTCAATTATACGTACTTGACTTTAAAAAACTAAATGTAGAAATTACAATAAATGGAAGAAAGAAAATTTAAACATTAATAAAAAAAATAGAAAAACATATCGAGAAATCGTAGAAAAAAATACGCATTGAATTTTGTTACTAACGAGTAGATACAGTTAGGAACGACTTGTCGCTTGTAACTAAATAAAATGCAATTAAGAACGTTGTATATTGTAGATCGTAAACGAAGGATTTTTTTTCCGCACCGATAAAGAGAAATTACGATAATTCTATGTGTCGGAAGGAAGAGATCCGTCGCAGTCGAATTAGACTCGCTGCTCGATCGATTAGTGTACTATCTCGTATCCGTATAATATTACATTATAATTATATAAAAATATATTTCTTAATCATATATTAACACTATAATAAATGAGTATTATAAGCATTATATCTGCACATTTTCATCTTTTTTTCTTTCTTTCGTAGAGTGGTAGTGGTGAACACGATGCCTGTCGCGGATAACCGAAGCTTCTACATACACGAAACGTCAAGGACGTACCGGTTTGCCGTATGCCGCACACATATTGGCACAAAATTTCAATAATACGGTAATATCTGTATCTCATATTTCTTTCTCATCTTTATCAATAACAATATCACTTATCACTTGTAGTACTCGTGTAAATAAAAAGACGCATAAACTGTTATAAAATACATTCTCGAGTATTATCAATCTGTAGAGTATATATATATATAATATACGTTCTTATCTATACGCGTCCGAACGAATAAAATCATATAAACGTCATAATATAATAATTTTAATAGTACAATATTTTGGAAGCATTTAATATCATATTTAGGTGTTTATGGTTATTCGGGCCTCGGATTTCGGTGAAAAGATTATTGCGAGGTTTTGATGAACATTTCGTTATTCTTCGTCGCACCTTCTCGATTCACAAGTCTTTGGATTTTCAATACAAAGACTTCTTGTATGTGATGCAAGAACATACAAGAAAATATAAGATTTCTTTGTATTTTTCAATACAAAAATACAAAAGACGCAAAAAGATATCTTAATTCGTTTTAAAACTTCTTTCATAAACGTCTTTCATATTTCTGTATTATTCAGGTCTATTGAAACTATAGATCTATAGGCTCCCCACATGAAACACACATGTCACACGTTGCGGGAGATTGTTTATCCTATATTGCAGAAACAAAATCGGGATTTCGATGAAAGGTGCCACGCGGTGTTATTCGTTGCAAGAGGAAAAAGCGATAAATAAAATGAAGAGGCCCTGAGAAAACGGATCCTCGCGGAATGTGTAACGCATACGATATACTATGTATTTGCATCGTCTCGAACCATAATCACGTTGTATTATAGGAATAACAACACATTAACTTGCTACCTTGTAAGTACAATAGAATTAAAAAGAATAATTCTCGCATGACATCAATCACCGACCCGCATGGCCCTTAATTCCACATTTCTTTCTCTCTCTCTCTCTCTCTCTCTCTTTTTCTACATATACAATAATGTATAATAATAATAGTAATATAATAATAATATAGCCTTTTTTCATCGAGTGAAGTTATTCATTGTAAGAGGAGGCGGAACATGAGATTCTAATCTTCGTCTTTACGACTGACGAAGTCTTTTAATATTAAGCTCAATTAACAGCTGTACTTCAGATATATTTGATTCGGTAAAACTCAATATATCTCCATCTTTACCTGTGTAGAACGAGCACTCGTTTTACACTATTTCGCGCGATTTCCATTCTCACATATCCGAATTATCTTTAGAACCTAAATTTTGAAAATTATTTGTCGAGATGCATACATGACATCGTGTCGCAGGAATTGTTTAAAAGACAAACATTTCTTTTTATCATTTTGAACGTTTTAATCGTCGAATCTAGCTCGTATATTATTTTACAAATGGATATCGCGCTCTCCATACGGACGTGGCTAACAAATTTGTACATTAATTAGTTTTTTTATTATTGTCATGGTATATATAATATTTTGTTAATAAAAATACTAAAATATTATGTATATTATATAATATATATATATATAATAGATTATTGCATTATGCTTTTTGGTACCGTTACATGCGTTTGGTTTATTTGTCAACGCCACTCTCCGCAAGTAGTAGTTTTTTTTCGTTCCTATTTTTTTTCACCGGTATTATTCCTTCTTTTAAAATTTAAAACCGGTTAACACACACACGCACACACAGACAATACAAGAGAGACGTTATACACGTCTTCCACATCTCAATCACAAATTCTAACATATATTTCTATCATTTTCGAAATATATGTTAGAATTTTCACTTATTAGGTTTCTCTTTTTTTCGAAGTACGAACCGATCATCAATAAAACGCCATAGCTTTGTAATGTGATGTCGCGCGCAGCATTTTATATATATATATAGACATATATATAGTAGCCTCGTGTGAAACGTTGCGGCTCCCTTTAAAGTTCATGCGAAAAAAAGTATGAAGGCATTCTAGCATTTTCTTGTGAGATGAAAATCTCGGAAAGAAAATTTACGTACAAAAGAGAAAAATTCTAAACATAAGAACTGCAGATATTATATCTAGATAAACGAGCGAGCTTTAGATGAGCACGTGGAGTATTTCTATTCTCTGTAGGGCTTGCAATAAGAGAAACGATGATTCATATGCTGGCTATAGGAGCCGGAGTGAGAGAAGCGCTTGAGGCACTTGGAGCACTGGAAAGGTTTTTCGCCGCTGTGTAGCCGCTTATGTTCAGTCAGATGATGCTTGTGCTTGAACGCTCTTGGACACTCCACGCATTTGTACGGCCTTTGCCCTAATATTTGCCAATTTTATTAATATTTGTTCATAAGTCCTCGTCTACAATAGATTATTTAAGTCCTAAGCCTTAAGAAAGTGACTAATTACAATCGAGTATTCCTCATGATTTAAGGCTTAAATTACCTTATTGTAGCGCTAATAAAATTAAAATAAAATTAAAACACAATAAGCTGGAAAAATCCAGATTTCTTGCGATAAATCTAAATAAAATAAAAAAAGATAAGATAAACAAAAAAAGAATAGAAAAGATAGTGAAGTATTGATATAACTTTCATTTATAAGCTTTCCATCTCAAAAATATTTGTAATTAATAAAATTTTATTTTCCAATAGATTCAATATTCTTAATTCTTAATTAAACATTAAAAAATTGTGAAAAGGAATAGTCGTGTGTCGTTAAAGAAAAATTGTTTGTAAACCGGATAATGGCTCTCGTTAAACTCGTGATAACAATAATGATAAATAATAAGTGATAGGTATACTCACCGGAATGTTCATACTTGTGTCTCATAAGAGAACTGTGTTTCGAGAATGTTTTGTCACACCGATCACAGGAATAAAGACCCTGCTCGGTTTCTGTTGCTACAGGAGTTACTTCCAATTGAGATACAGCTTCACTTTCACCTTTTGTATTTATTTGATTTTGATTCTGAACAGATAATACATAAATTATATTATTTATATAAAGCTTTGGAATTTATATTTTCTATTTTATTATTACCTTTGTAATTATCTCTCCATTTGTAGGTGTACGTTTCGGTTCAATAGGATCACCGGCAGTCTCTTCGTCTATGACGAGAGGCGAATCCTCGAGGTCATCGTTGTCGACATTCGGGGTTGGATTATCGTCTTTCTGCTCGCAAGGGGACGAAGTATTTCTACTCGATATATTGCTTTCTTTGGTCGTTGATACAACAAATGCTTCCTTTTTGGACAAATCCAAAGGCTGCTCGATAACAGTTTGATTTCCTAGGGCTAAAGGTACTAATGCCGGTGGCATTTTTGATTCTCTTCGATCCCTAGCTCGAGAATTTTGAAACCAAACCTATAAAATAATTATATAGTAATAAATATATATGCATATTTCAAACGTGGTTCGGCAATTGTTGTGATCAACTGTACAGATTTATTAAATATTAACTCTTAATAGAAAGAAGTATAATAATTTGTAATTTAATGTAATTAATCAATGTTTTTGCGTACCTGTACCACACGAGTAGGGAAATTAATACAATTAGCGATCATGATAATCTCCTCCTTTTTAGGTCGTGGATTGATGGAATAGTAACCTTTCAGAATGGCTAATTGTTCATCGTCTATGAGCGACCTAGCTCTAACCCTTCTGCCGTTATCATTGTGAGTATGGTTGCCCTCATCCTCATCCTCCGAATCCATCTCAGAACTGTCCCCCACTTTCCTCTTATTTGATCTCGGTTGATTAACATTTTCTAATTTTGCAGCTAGACCTTCGCTCTGCGAGTCATATTGATCCAATGCGGCCCAGTCCGGACAATGTGTCATCTCACTAGACATTTCGCTATCTTGATCCTACAAGTAAGATTTTAATGTTTAAGTCAATTTCACTTCAAAAAAAAAACAAATGCGCAATTTTATATGGCTTAGATATTAAAGTTCTACATTGATTCGTGATATAATTTATATAATTGTGTAACTGTTAAATTTATTAAGTTTAGTAAGAATTGATTTTCTCTCTTTTACTTTTTTCATTTGTTATGTATTTAAGATGTATATGGAGAGTTGCGCGCCGCGAGGTAAAAGAGCCTAATCGTGACACCTTTCGGCGTTATCGTTCTAGTTTACCCCCGAATATCGGCTAAAGCCCGGCTTTTAGCCGAGTCATCGTCTCCCGCTGTCGCAGAGACCAGGACAGGCGCGTAGCGAGCGGATGCTCCGTTTATAAGCTCCGGTTACTCCGATTGTGTTCTAACTAATAAATAGTTCTGTGGCTAAACGTGTTTGAATCATTAGCTCCGGTTCTCCTTCTCTCAAATATAATATTCAAATATACAAGAATATAACATCATTGTTTAATTTTAAAAATTAAATTAATAAAGCTTGTTATTTCAATATACAACATTTAAGTTTGTTGCAAATGAGTAGATAGAACAATAAAATAAGAAAGATTTTTATATATACTAAATCTCTCATTACCTGATAATCTTCCTCAAGCTCTCGCTTCATTGTAGCCGGAGACGTAGAGAGCTTTCGCACATTCGCTTCAAGTAGCTGCTTCGTCACGGAAGTATTTACGGTCTCCAAAATCCGCCGAACAGCATCGAGACTCTGCATTGGATCCGCCGGCGCAGGGGACTCCTTGCCCTCGGTGCCTTCGGTTCCCTCGGAATCCGCCGTCGATGGACTCATCACTTCCCGATGCGTCTCGAACTGCTCGGTGATTTCGTCCAGCCGCTTAGAATGCAATTGGTTCAGCAGCTTGCCTATCGAAGACTGCAGGATATAGTTTCCGTATCCCATCATCTGAGGCAGCAACGTCGGCACGTCATAAATACCTAAGTATTAAACAAATCAGATTTAGAAAAATAAAGAAGTGGATATACGTTTGATTAAACTTTCATTTACGAATTTCTTGATAATTTTTTTTAGACAGAAGTCAGGGATCAAGTTACTTATGTAATGTTTTTGTCAAATTGTAATTACTCGATTTTCAATTAATCTGAGATATTCAAAACTAGGATAGATAAAATTTATAGTACGCTTTTTATATAAAGACATATCTAAAATAGAATTTGTAAATTATCGATTTAATTTAGTATTTGCTTAATTCTGACCCCTCAGATACTTTTATAATCAAGATTTCTAAAATTTTGCAAAAATGCAAAAGTCCATTAAAAAATACTGTTTTGTTATACTCCTATTTTTCATCTAAAAGGTAATAAAACAAAAGAATTCTTTGATTTTTCATTTCAACGATTTATAAATAATCATTTTCTCGATATTCTTTTTCATAAAAATAATATCTTCTAAATTGTTCATTAAATTCGTAAAAACTAAAAGATGAAAAAAAATCAAGAAAAGAGTGCATAATAATAACATACACGCACAAATATATAAAAAAAAAAAAAAAACAAATATATTTAGACACTGATCATTGACAAAATTACCTGCTTCCCTTGCAGCTTCCCTTTGTATTTCCTGATAATCCGAAGGTGATAATTTTGGCAAGATCGGCAAGAACGTGTTATTATTAGCTGTCAGCAGATCAACCTCGCGTCGTCCCGACAACTGCTGATGCGTTTTTTTCGATCCCCGATCGACATTACTTATAGTATTTTGTCTTGACTTTTTTAAATTCATTATCAAACATTTCTTTGCCGTCATATGGCTCGAATACGAGCCAGAATGAGAGAAACGCTTGCCGCAATTGTTACATTGGAATGGCTTCTCACCACTGTGAATGCGCAGGTGTTCCTACAAGGAAAGTCGAGTTTCAAGTTAAAAGCAGACATTATTAAGATTATATATTTGTTTCCGATAATATACAAAAAGATAAATTTGCGTCAAAAATAAAAATATAAATACTACATTATAAAACATTACAAAAAATAGTTACTCTATGATATTTAGTATATTGATGATATAAAATCAATAAAATATAATTAAGAAAAATAATATAAGATTAAAATAAAAAATAATATAAAATAATATTATGCAATGTAATAGATCATAATAACAAAGTACCTTAAGGTGATGCTTGAACTTGAAGGCCTTCTCGCAATGAGGACACTTGAACTTTCGTAAAACGGCACTTTCGTCATGACTAATCATGTGCCTCTGTAACCGGTAGACGTTGGCAAAAGTTTTGCTACACACCTTGCAGGACTGTTAAATTATTAAGAAAATAAACAATTTTATTAATATAATATAATATAATGTATATGTAATTAATCGTATAAGGATACACATGTACACTTATTAGTGAGTTGTATGCGGTTTTTATTATTTTTTTAATCTATTGATTTTTCTCACATGAAGATAATTCGTGTTTATTTATTTGAAAATGAATATTTAAAACTTGCTTGAATTCCTAATGATTTGAACTGAAGGCTCGACATGCTTATTATTTGGTGAGAATCGCTATTAACATTAAGAATCCTTAGACATGGAATGGAATGGAAGCACTATTTTTTGGATATCGCGTGTTTCCTATGCGTAACCTTACAGCTCGAATTGAATTCTATTATGACATGTGTTATTTTCTAATTCCGACAGTTGCTGAAAGATGATCTAAAACGGGAACAAAACATTCAAACTTTTTGTATAATTAAATTCTTTTGAAAACAATTTTTAACACCTGTTTTCTACGCCTTATCTTCTTACTAATCTGTTACTATATTTGTTTTATATTATGTTATTAGAATCACATGTCTATTTGTCAAATGTTTTAGTACGGAAGAAAGGCGTAAATGTAAAACTCAATATATATAAAAAAAATTGTGTAAACACATTATTCTCATACTAAAAAAACTGATTTATGATTCAGATTAAAAATAATTTAGCTTGAGAAAATATCGACAAATTCACAGGTAAACGAGAATTGAATTCATATGATTTAATACGATTAATTCGCGAAATAATTTCTTTTATTACGATCAAAAAAGCATCGTATGATTTATGTCACTGTATAAAAGAGATATATCAAACAACAATTAGAAAAGAAGGTACACACCAAGAGATAGATGTTTAATACAAACTATAAAAAAGATCATAATAAATATGATGATTTATATATAAATTTTGCATATCAAGAGTTCTCATAGCATAAGTGACATAAAACTTCTTACGTAGAGTTTCTTATTTATTTCTTTTGTAAATTGCATTCTAAAGTACCTTAGTCACTGCTGAAACTCTAAACCTTACGTGTCATGTCTATCTCGAGATCTTAAAAAAAAAATAAATAAATAAAAAAAAAAATAATAATAATAAAATGCAATAAATATATCTGATATCTCCTATCACCTAAAGACATTCCTATTCTCTTCTCGAAAATTGTGTGCGAAAAGCAGACAAGCGGCGCCTTTCAGCGGAAAGCTGGCTCCCGCTTTTGGAGGGGTATAATCGATAAGTTCCCGCGCAGGACGCGAACAACCAAGCCTCCCTGAGTGTGTCCTTGACGGGTCATCGCGATCACTCACCACTTGGGAGAACTGGGCGTTGAGATCGTGCTTGTCGATGGTATAGGACGTTTTGTGCGTGTCCTCGAGGTGAAGCTGCAGGACACGGACGTCCCGACAGAGGATGCCGCACTGAGGGCACCTTTCGCCACCCTGCTGCTGCTGATGCTGCTGCTTCGCGGATGATCCGCCCTCGCTGTCGCCGCCACCATCCCCGCGCGTTCCAACGCTACCACCACCTCCGTCTCCGCCAACATCGCCACTTCCTGCGGTTGGCGCTTCACCCGCACAACCTCCGCCCACCTCTGTATCCACGACACCTGCGTCGTCCTCGCTGCAGCCTGTAACACGCGGACACGTATACGACTTTTATATTTCGTCTCGGTATAGCGCGCCATTGCGCGAAATACACTAATCGAACTGCATGTTAAAACCGATATCGAGATCCCGCAATGTGCATTTATAATATCCCTTACAGCGATTTTTTTTTTTTCATTCACCGCTCTCTCTTTCAAACAATTTTTAAAAATTTATTCTTTCAATAATTATTATACTTTTATAGAAACTCTATCGCAATAATAAAAATTGAAAATTCAGACACTCATATAATCAACTATTTCTTAGAAAATTGATGAAATTAATTTTAATCAATTTTTTTCAGATTTAAATTAGTCTTCTCTCTCAATCTCTTTCCTCTTTTTATTAAGTTCTGAAAAAATATAGATTATGTTACATTGTTATATATTATATTGCACTCTGAACTCGTATTGATGCGGCAAACATTTTTGATAACGCGAGTTTCATAATATAATAAAGATAAAAACCGACATAATTTCGTTAAATTTGAATATAGATGTTATAAACACAAGATGCTGTAATAATAAACATAGAATAATCTTCATTACTCTCTGTTTACTCGTACGAGAAAAACGGTCATGAAATATTTGATAAAGTGTATTTTCCGTATAACATCAAAAACTGATCTTATATTTTAATCTCATTAATTTAATTACACCAGATAAAAATGTAATTTATTCAATTTGTATTCACGAGTATCGCTAATGAGAGCTATATTGCTATACTTAAAAGCATTTTTCACTCACAGTTTTAAATAAAGATCGAAACAACAGATAATAATTATACTAAGTTTGGATTTTAATACTACAGATAGATATACAAATAATTCTCTAATCTATTCTCATATAAAATGCAATTTTTTTTCATATATCTACAATCTCGAAAATTAAATTTATTTAATATCGAACAATCTTTTGTTCGTTCTGAACATAAATGTATATGTAATAAGTTTATGTCTTTTAATTTTAAGAGTTTATATTATTTCTGTCTTTATTATTATAATGCTCAATTACACGTCTATTGAACAATCAAATGTCCAACATAATCAAGTATCCAAAACTATTAAAAAGATGCAACTAATTCTTTTTTTTTTTTAAATTCATTTTATTAAATATGTAATGTATTATGTATCTAAATTAAATCTCCAACAATTATAATACCTAATCCAGTTATTAATTAATAATTTCAAATAATTAATAATTAATCAGCTAATAATAATTTGAATAACGATCAATTAAAAAGGCATTCGTAGAAACGACATATCACATTTCTCTGGCAGAATACAAGATATTATTAATATTTGAGCTGCGATGGGAAGCTGTACACTCGAGGCGAGACAGTATGAAGTCTCTCGTATCCGAGATTCTCCGAGTTGGACCGCACGTGCAAGATTGGCCGCGATCAATCAACAACGCGTATCTGGCAGCGGGTATCGGTTTACACGTGCGATGCGTTGCGGAGCTAATCTCGACTATACCTTCGTCAATTACCAATATGCATGCTCGGTCATCGCATCAGTCGCATAATCCCCGGCGTGGCGCACGTGTACGCGACGCGTACAGAAACGCATCTCTAATACGTCTCTGCCCCCGAAAGAATAAAAAAGCAAAGAGAAGAAAAGAGAGACGCGTGCGCGATAGACACAATCGAACCACATAGATAGGGCGTAACGCCAGAGAACGCGGGAAGAAAATATCCGTGAGCGCTGCCAAATGTTTCGCGGCGTCGCTATTAAGTATATACGAGTGCATCCGCAAGCACCGCAATGCACATGCATCCACCGACGCCCACTTCGATGATCGAGCAATGATGATGCATCGTTCCGAAGAAAGTACATGATCGAGAAAAGAAATACCTATGTAATACGGTTGAATCATATCACAGAGAATTTTTTCATGAATAATATATATGGTATAAGTGTCTCGGATTTAAAGATAGGTCAGTCGGAGAGGTTTAATTTGAAGAATGGAATTTTAACAAGTATCTTTTATTGTTCGTTTCGGATATCACTGGAAAGTAAGGTTCTATATATTTCATTAAACAAATTTATATATATATATATATATATATATATATATATGCGAAATATATGTATGTGTATATAATGTGATTTACTTTATATCTTTCATATGTGTAGATATTTTTATCAATCTATATCTTTCCATTTGATTTATATAACTTACAGAATCTTTTAAAACTCTATTTTATTTATAATTTATTAAGTCTTTTAAAGCATATACACATTTTAAAATACATACATTGAAAAAAATGGTTAACTTGACTAAATTACTATTTTGTTAATTGAACATATTAGTATTATACCTTTCGTTAGATTGAATATATTATATTTAATTTAAATATTTCTATATGTTTCCATTAACAAAATAATATTTAGTCGAGCGATTTAATCCAGACATATGTATATGTATATATTAAATTTTCCAATTAAACATTACTAATATTATTGACAATACAGGTACTGCAAATGATAAGTTCAGCAAAATATGTAGAATATTGTTCCTTATGTGTTACATGTATCTACAAAAAATTGTACATTAATATTATTCCAACTGTTTGTATTTTAATCAGACTCTAACACAGAAAGAATTTATTCTTAGAATTTACATCGTGGTAATCATGAGGCAATATGATATTGGAAGACTTTTATCAGAGTTTCTCTCATTAATATTTATCACAATAAAAACTATTAATATACCTATTACAATAATATATACAAAATGTGTTCGATTAATTTTCCTATGTACATATTAATATTTTTCTTGTGGTAAACATTAATCAGAAACTCATAAAATTCTTCATAATTTTCAGGATAAATTCTAAAAGAAAATTCTCTCCGCGTATAGCATGGAAATTCGAATCCCCTGAAATTAGATCAGCTTTGAGATTATTATTAATGAATCATTAAAATCGCGCGTTAAAAAAGTGATCGGATAAATTAGGCGACGTCAATGTGGGAAGATTGAATTTTCGTCTCTCGCTGTACCCGCAGCTAACTCGTTGCTTCTACTCTGCCATTGTGCGCGGCACATGATGCATAGTGGGGTGAAAAGAGATCGTCGTCGTCGTCGGGAGAGAAGCATTGTTCGGGATTCCCGTATATGTAGGTGTGTTATGCAGGAAGGGGTAGAAAAGCGGACACAGGGGGTGCGCGTTCGCACATAGAACCGATCTGTATGGAACGCGAGAGAAAAAGTGGCACATGTCGGTGCCGCTGGAGCCCGGCTAACTTTTCGGGTGCGTCCATTGTCAACGAGACCGGATTTAAATGCCCCCGACGTACAATTTCCCACCGATAATCGCACACACTCGCCCTAATCCGATGCCGACATCGACACGTCGCGTCGCACCGATCGCGATGCATTTAACCACTTGGCAGCCATGTCCAGCGTTCAATTCGATCGCGAGAACACTAATTTATAATTGTTTAATTCGTAATTAATTCTATGCCTCTTTCAAACGTCGTGCGTGCGCGACACGATTGATCGCAACGATACTCGGTATGTATTTATAGGTAATTTATTTTTTTTTTTTTTTATATTTGCCTCTTTTCTTTTAGATTTTTCCTGAAAATCATCCCAGATTGCACAAGGTATTCGAAAAGAGTTCATTTGTATGTCACCAATTTTTTGAGTTCATTTTATTGATATGAATTCTATATATGTATTTGAAAAAGAACTCAAAATTGGTGACATACAAATGAATTCTTTTCGAGTACCTTGTGCTATCTGGGATGGTAATAAATAAATATGTACATAGTAAAATTAATCAAACATATTTTATATCTTATTGTGGTAAATATTAATCAAAGAGAAAAGTTCTTATAAAATTCTTCGAATACCATATTGTCCCACGATTGCCATGATTTTCAAGGTAAATTCTAAGAGAAAAGTCTCTCTGGGTATTCTTTTAATTTAAAAAAATAGAAAATAAATAATTACGAGATTAAAATCAATCAAATCTTTGAATTTTATAAGCAATTTATATTCAAACTATGCGAAAATCAGTATTACGTATTTCGAAATTGATTTTGACAAATAATTTTAAAAACAGGATGATAAAGTTTAATCTCCTAGATTTGTCATACATACATAGTTGAATAAATTTTCAGACATTCTTTAGCGAATAGATCAGTCAGTTTATCGATAACAAATTTATTGAAACGTTTCTTTTACATCGCATAGCTTATCCTATATCGTTTTATACATATTCTAGCAAAGATGACGTCCGGATATATCCGAATATGTCAGAAGGGTAGGCATGTAAGATCCCCTATGGAAACGTCTGGAAATGCGCAGAATATCTCGTAACTATGCTTGCAATCGTGCGCGATGTGAATCTCGCGCCAGACACCGCATATTAATCTCGCGCAGATAGGTAGATATACGTATGGGTCGCTGTACGAAAACATCGTAATGAATCGATGTGTGCAAGTTCGCGTCCTGTTTTAATTAATATGCTGCTACGTGATAACTTTGCGAAGCCGGAAACGACATGGAGTAACATGAGCTACGAGCGTAATCCTTCCCTATCCTAAGTTATCGTATGGGCAGAATTATTCCATGTTTTTCAATTAAAAATTAGGATACAACAAATAATCAAATTGAATAATAAGATTTATTTGAGGGCCTTAACGAGCAAGAAATATAAAACAACTTTGTCGTTATAAAGCTGTTACAATTAATATCGCGAATTACAGCTTTGTAACAAAGTTGTTTTATATTTCTTGTTCGTTAAGGCCTTCAAATGAATATTATTGTTTTATAACACGAGCCTAAATTCAATTGATAATTTTATTAATAAAATTAAAGATATATATTCTAATAATTATATATTTTTTGAGATTTATTTATATATGTATATACCCTAAAATATGTGAGGATACGATGTTATTATTCTTTTTTTCGCTCATTTATGTTTTAATTAATTGCAAATAAATAAAACGAAAGGCTTTACTCTATTACAT